TCTCTTTTCTATTTAGGGCCAAGAAACCTGATTGTTAAATTCCTTCTTATTGTGTGAAGAAATCACCTGGTGCATTCATCGTTAGAGTACATGGGAAAGGGATCTGGACAGACGTTGAAATCTAGCCTTAGGTGCTCCTTGGCAACGCCGTTGACCTTTTCAAGTTGTAATTTGTCTCTGGTTGTTTTTTTTTAATTAAAAGAAGCTTACACAGTTAAGGCAACAGGGCATATGTTCCCACTGTGCCTGTGTATGGAGTGGGCAACTACCTTGCATTCCTTAGCAATTTCCAAGCTTGACTACTGCAGTGAGGTATTTGTGAGGCTGCCCTTGAAGACTGTTCAGAAAATAGCTGCCCGAGTATTGGCCAGTGACATCAGCACAGACCACATAATACCAATATTGAAAGATCTCCGCTAAATTCTGGGGTTTGGGTCTCCTGCGATTGGTTTATATGATTATGATGCTTTTGCCATTAAAACTGCTGGGTGACCTTGGGCCAGTGGCATATCCTCAGCCTAACCTACCTCACAGGGCTATTGCGAGGATAAAATGGTGCACCATGAGTGCAGGCCTGAGCAGTTTGGAGGAGAGGTGGGATAAAAATGTACCAAGTAGATAGAGGCTGTGTGCGTGTTAGCGGGGCAGGCAGGCAGGCCACACCACAGTGTCCTGAGCTGTAGCTTCCTGCACATCCCCTGATACTTTCATCCTGGATCATAACCACAATGGCATGATGCATTTTGCAACCAAACGGGCAGAAAGCAGGAGCAGACAGGGAAGTAAAAGTGGCCCTGGAGCAAGCCAAGCTGCAGTAAGCCAGCACTCCAGGGGTCTCTCAGCTCAGCAGTGCAAACAGTGGGCGTGAGTTCCCCCATTGCTCCCTCCTGGAAACGGGCAGCAGAGTGGGAAAAGACAACTGGTGAACGGAACAGGCCTGCTTGACCTGCAGACCCGGTTCTGTCTGCTCCCTCTTTGAGTTGCCACCTCCTGGAGGGAGCAATTCTTCTTCCTGCCACCAGGGTATTCACTGCCACCACCTGTTCATCTTAGGGGTCCTGAATGAGAGGAACAGGACTCTCAGTCCCCCCTCCCAGTTCTGAGGCCTGGCCTCCTGCTACCCAGTGCCTGGTTACCACAGGGACCAAATGCATCTTTGGGGCTCCCGTGGAGGGTTGGCCAGTTGCACACTGACCGCCTCCCTCCTCCCTGGGGGTCCCCCTTGTCCAAATAGCGTGTCCCAAAGCATTTGGGGAAACTATGTGGCACAGAGAACACTACCAGCGTCAAATAAAAGGTGACAATATTTATTAATAAAAAAGGAAAGGTTCATAAGCATGCTTTAGCACCACAGCAGATCAGCAAAGGTAAAAGGTAAAGGTTCCCTTGCTCGAAAGCCAGTCGAATCCGACTCTAGGGTTGCGGTGCTCATCTCCGTTTCAAAGCCGAAGAGCCAGCGCTGTCCGAAGACGTTTCCGTGGTCATGTGGCCGGCATGACTAAACACCAAGGCGCACGGAACGCTGTTACCTTCCCACCGAAGTGGTACCTATTTATCTACTTGCAATCGAACTGCTAGGTAGGCAGGAGCTGGAACTAGAGACGGGAACTCACTCAATCATGCGGCACCCGGGTCTCGAACTGCTGAACTACTGACCTTCCACAGCCTGCAGTTCAGCGTCTTAACCACTTGAGCCACCGCAGCTCCCAGATCAGCAAAACGGAAGCGTAAAGAAAAGTTGGTTAGGAACACATCCTCTCTCCCTCTCCTACACATACCCTAATGAGATGTTACAATCAGAGTAGGCACTTGGAATCATAGAGTTGGAAGGGACCTCCAAGGTCATCTAGTCCAACCCCCTGCACAATACAGGAAATTCACAGATATCTCTCACACACAGAGTGACCCCTGCTCCATGCCCAGAAGATGGGGGAAAACCTTCAGAATCCCTGGCCAAACTGGCCTGGAGAAAAAAAGATTCCTGACCCCAAAGTGTACAAGCAGTCCAAGCTTAGAAAGTTGTAAAATGTTCTAAAGATGCCCCATTACCTCAGGCTCCCTGCAGACAGACCACATGGTCCAAGATGGCTGCCGGCTTGCAGACCAGAGATCAGAGGTCTGTCCCCTTTGCAGAACCACCACAAAAAGCCCCTTTGTCCTCTCAGGAAGAGCTGTCAGTAAACCTGTGTCTCTCCAGCCACTTTGCATCACCTTCTCCACCCCTTTGACTTGGACTGCCCAGGCCAGGGCTTCTGTTCCTGTTGTCTCCAGGAAGCCTCCTTCTGGGAGGCATCCTGGGACATCTCCAGGCATGCTGAGAAAACCTCCAGGAATCACCTGGAGGCTTCCCCAAGCAAGCACCAAATTCCCCCACTCAGCTTTGCTAGCAGGGTCATTAACGTTTCTAAAGCTGGGCTCTGACAGGTGATTGACCTACCTTCCTGCCCTCTGAGAGAGAAGAGGTAAATAAAAAGTGACACTTTTCAAACTCAGAGGTGGAGGGAGGCATTCCGTCACACCACGTCTTAGCCAAGTCACCCCGAAGGCTTTGGCAGAGCGTCTAAAGCCTGGTTATGCTTGAAGGCAGGGGCCCATCAGGAAGTTTCTCTGTAAGCGAAATGGCCCCTCCTTCCCTGTGGACAAGGTGATCTTGACCTCTTCCTCGTTCCCTTGGCCAACAAACTGCACCCCTGGCAGAACGGTTGATGACAGTCTCTAGATGGGAGGGAGTCAGGTTCATTCCACCACTCGTGGGTCTGCTGCGAGTTCTTGATTTTTTAGATGTCCTTCACTCTGCTCAGTCTCCCTCGGTACACATGCGCCAAGGGGTCCTTCTTTAGGAGCAGCCACCCTGTTCCTGTTGTGCGGTGGCTCAAGTGGTTAAGACGCTGAACTGCAGGCTGTGGAAGGTTAGTAGTTCAGCAGTTCGAGACCCGAGTGTGCCGCATGATGGAGTGAGCTCCCGTCTCTAGTTCCAGCTCCTGCCAACCTAGCAGTTCGAAAGCAAGAAATTGCAAGTAGATAAATAGGTACCACTTCGGTGGGAAGGGAACAGCGTTCTGTGCGCCTCGGTGTTTAGTCATGCCGGCCACATGACCACGGAAACGTCTTCGGACAGCGCTGCCTCTTCGGCTTTGAAACGGAGATGAGCACCGCAACCCTAGAGTCGGATTCGACTGGCTTTCGAGCAAGGGAACCTTTACCTTTACCCCTCTTTTAGATGCTGATCCCTGATTAATCACTGTGCCATCTTGATGCTGTGGCGATCTTGGGGGGCATTTTTGAGAACGATGGTATTGTGTGTATTGCTATTACAGCAAACTCTGCGCAGTTGTATAGACCAGCGGTCCGGAATAATTTGTCCAAGTAATTGTGAATTATTTTGTGCAGTGCTACCCTTCAGCTTGGATAGAAAAGCCCTCTTGAATAATTCAAGTTTTGCACTGTTTGCGGAAAGTCAGGCGAGTGGGAACCTTCCGGACCTCCTCAGGCAGACTGTTCCATTGGGGCGGGGGCACAGCAGAGAAGGCCCCTGCATGGGCAGTGGTTGATTTATTCCTGGAAGGTGCTTGCTTCCTTTCTTGTCTCACCCTGTAAATGCTCACCCAGGGAGTAAATGCTGCTGAATTTGTTTCTGATCTGAAGCCGATATCCGGTCTGTAGACATAAAGGCACTTCAGTTTTCTTAAGAGGGGACAGCTGTTTCTATCAGTTCCCACTGAAATCCACTGAAGCCCCCCTCCCAGTTTTGTCACTGTGGGTCAGGAGACCCACAAGAACAACCTGAGGCAGGGTGAGACGTCTGCAGTGGGCTGGGCTGGGGCTCAGGGGAAACTGGAGCACTCTTGAGTCTCTGGAATATGTGATTGGAGGCAGCCCAGTGAGTATAATCAGATCTATGGTGAGATTCAGCATTCTTCAGTTTTGTTTGTTCAGTAAAGAAACCGTTACGCTCAATTTGTCGCCTGAGAAGCCAGTGCAAGTCGGACTTGTGTACACTAAAGGAATGTGGCAGAGATGAGTCTCAATTATGGGAGGCAGTGAGTGGGGAAAGACTCGGGCACAAATTATTGATGTGAGAATAGGGTGCGTTACAGGTACCCAAGTGCGTGTGTGTGTTCTTTTTTTTTTAATATTTATTTTCCACATTTTTCAAACTTAAACACAAACATTTCATTTTCTTAGTTTACATAAATTTCTCAGAGTTGTTAATTCAAATTACATTCCTTGTACAAGTTATAACTTCACTATTATACTGTTACTTGCTTTATCCAGTTATATACCCTAAACCATCTTTTATTCTGACTCTTGTGGTCTTTATCTTGTAGTAATAGGCTCAAATTATCCATTTGAGCTAGTTCTAAAAGTTTTGCAATTAAATCCTCCTTTACGGGTAGTTTATTTGTCTTCCAATTTTTGGCCACTAATATTCGCGCCGCTGTTACTATATATACTATTAGATATGTATCTTGTATAACTTTTTGGGACCATATTCAATAAATATATTTCCGGTACTAACTCTATCTCTATATTCAATATTTCTGTGTGTGTGTTCTGTGTCGTCAGGCTGGCTCCTGACTTGTGGCGGCTCTATAGATTAATGTCCCTCCAAGACATCCTGCCGTTAACAGCTTTGCTCCGGTCTTGTAAAGTGAAGGCCGCGGCTTCCTTGATTGAGTCAATCCATCTGATCTTGCGTCTTCTCTGACTGCCTTCAACTTTTCCTAGTATTATTGCCTTTCCCAGCGAGTCTTGATTTCTCACAATGTGACCAAAGTACGATAGCCTCAGTCGTTTTAGCGCCTTGGGAGAATCCGGGCTTGATTTGATCTAGAACCCACTCGCTTGTCTTTTTTGGCAGTCCATGGCGTCTGGAACGCTCTCCTCCAACACCACATGAGAGCCTCCCTGTTTTCATCTGTGACCTGCTCGGGGGGGGGATACGTTGGTGTGGCGGTCGCTGTAAGGTTCACGCTCGTCTTCCCTTTGTCCCACTGCAGATGTCATGGTGCCCTCAGTATCGCAGTTCAAAGTTCCGCCACGTCTACGGCAAGGCCGCCAGCAAGGAGAACTGCTACGACTGCGTCCCCATCACCCAGAGTGTCCATGACAACCACTTCTGCGCTGTGAACCCACATTTCATTGCCGTGGTGACAGAGTGCGCGGGTGGAGGGGCCTTCCTGGTGATACCAGTAAATCAAGTAAGTACCACTTGAGTCTGTCTGAGGGCTCTGTGTGTGTGTTTGTGTGTGTGTGTGTGTACACAAGGTGGCGATGAGGGGCCACCTCCTTCAGTGGCTCATTTTTACTTGTGACCATGTTTTGCACTGAACCGCGGTGGCTTAGAGGTTAAGACACTGAGCTACAGACCAGAAGGTCTGTAGTTCGGCAGTTCGAGACCCGTGTTCCCTCTAAGCTGAGTTAGTGTGAGCTAGCGCAGTTTTTTAGCCTCCGGCTCACACCTTTTTTGTCTTGGCTCAGGACGGGATGGCTCCAGAGCAAACGAATCGATGCAGTAGCCAAATCGCTGGCTCACAACAACTTGAATGCCAGCAGCTCACAAAGTAGAACTTTTGCTCACAAGACTCCACAGCTTAGAGGGAGCATTGTTCGAGACCCAAGGGCCGCGTGACGGAGTGAGCTCCCGTTTCTGGCCCCAACGTCTGCCAGCCTAGCAGTTCGAAAGCAAGAAATTGCAAGTAGATAAATAGGTACCGCTTCGGTGGGAAAGTAATAGCGTTCCGTGCGCCTCAGTGTTTAGTCATGCCGGCCACATGACCATGGAAACGTCTTCGGACAGCGCTGGCTGTTCAGTTTGGAAACGGAGATGAGCACAGTCCCCTTTACTTTTACTTTTAGGGTTTCAAAGGCCAAAAAAAAAAAAAAATGGAATCTGTCTACCAATTTATTCCCCCATGAGCAGAGACCTGGGTAAAGGTCTCATTGGCCTGTATCCAACCACACCACTTCAAATCTTTAGCATGTTTTTTTTTTTTTAAGAGCAGGTGGTGATTTCTGCTGCTCCCCCACACCATCCCACTAATCACACTCCCCATTTTGTTCTTTGAGTCAGTCGACTGTGTGGTGGGCAAAATAAGGCTCTTCAGTAGGAGGGTAGAGCCTGCCGATACCCCACCCCTTCTCAAGTTCCCTTATTTCTTCAGAATGGGTGGTTGGGTGCAGGCCACAAGCCCGGGTCCAAAGCTATGGTGGGGCTTTTGGGGGCTCCACCCCCTTTCTTAAAGGCACAGACCCACAAGCATTTCTCCCATAAATGCTTATTTGACCGACCCCGGGCTCTCCAGACGACGAGGAAAGGGCTTTGATGGCCGGAAGGGCGGGAAAGGGGGCTGGTCCCGGGGAATCCCCAGACCGCTTTCCTCTCCCTCAGTGTCAGCGGCGGGGCGTGAAAACCCCCAAGAAAGAGCAGGCTGGATCAGAACACACGGCTCGGCAGATAGAGGGGGGAGGCAGGGCTTTGCTCGAGGAGGCACGTCTCCTGGATGACCCCAGCCATGCCGACAGGCGACGGGGTAGGGATGATAGATCCCGGTTGCCAGACCGGAAGTAGACGCACCTTAGCTAGCACAGAATATAACGGGGGTAGGATCACCAGAGGGGAAGTACTAGTGGATTGGAGTGGGGTTGGAGTAGGTGACCTCTAGGATCCCTTATGACTCTGTGTCAAGAAACTGGTCTCCTTTAAGAGAGTGTTTCTGCCTAAGTGTTAGCTTTCCTGACTATAGAAATCATCACCCTTACCTGCCGGCTTCGTATCAGAACTGCTGCTTAGGCTGGCAGAAGTGATTAACTTGCAGCAGCTGAGAACTGTCATCTAAAGTGGTTGACAACTTGCAATTTAGAGATCTATCCTGGTCACACCTTTCTATGGGCTAAACGGCTTTCCTTTCTGCACTGAGAACTTCAGCCCCACCAGAAAAAGATTTGCCCCCACAAGCCACAAAATCCTGGCTATGGGCCTGCATGAGCCCCTGCTCTTCCCGCTGTGACCCCCTTGGCACTGTTACCTGTCATTCTGATTTGCCTGTCAGTTGTGCAAGAAGGGAACTTGACAGAGCTTCTCTTGGATAAGGAGGAACCCAGTTGCCTCTGAGCCAGTGATCAGTGCATTAAATGGGAGATCCATGATTAGCTCTCCCGGTGTCTTCTTTAGTCTTGCAAAGGAGTTGTGGATGGAGGTGGATTGGGCTGTGATACCTGGAGCCATCCTATCCCGGTTTTCCTGACAGCAGCACCTAGAGGGTGAACTGCATTTACCTGGCAGTTGTGGAAAGTGTCATCAAGTTGCAGCCAGCTTATGGTGACCCCGCAGGGTTTTGAAGGCAAGAGACCCACAGTGGTGGTTTGGCCTTGTCTTCCTCTGTGTAGCAACCCTGGACTTCCTTGGGGGTCTCCCGCCCAAATACAAACCTGCTTGGCTTCCAGAATCTGTCAAAATTGGGCCGGGGCAAAAAGGACAGGTCTTTGTGTTCTTCCCTGTGGTGGCTCATAGCAACTCTGGGAGAAATACCTGCTGGGGAAACAGCATGTGAGTGTGGAAGGGAAAGTGTTAACTATCCTCCCACAGCAATCCCACCCCCTGCAAGTGCTTGCTAATGCTAAAGAGGACATGGGGGGGATCTAACCATGTGACCGTGTCTGAGCTGTCAGTTCATCAGCTGAACCTAGTATAACACCCTGATCACTTGGAGGGAAGCCAGGATAAAAACAGCCTTGAATAATATTTTGCATTCTTCCTTCCCGCCACCTTCATGTTTTGGTGTTTGAACTTTAAACACAGTACTATATCATACAGGGTTCAATCTGAGATCTCAATGGTCAAGGGAGGAACCACATTGCTCTATCGGCTCTTCCACACACTCAGCATACTCCTGATTTTCTTGGTAGTCGATCCTCAAGCATTGGAATCAGTTTGGGCGGGGTTCTTCCACATGTCTGCCTTCCCTGTGCATTTTTACAATTGTGGAGTCCGTTTATTTTCTTCCGCACATGCCTTCAATGATGTGGATTTTCAAGGAAGAGTGCTGTCATCATTGGTGGTGTCATTGGTAGCGTCACAACACACACACACACGCTTTTAAAAAAAGACACTAAAATATTGCTATATAACTGGAGCATTGTAACAATAGGCTTAGTTGCGTCTCTGAATTCTCACCTTTCATATTTTTTAAAATGTAAGTCTTTGGCTTCTTCCCTCACAGAGATATGTCTTTTTACTTATATCTTTGTGAGGGAAGATGCTAGAGACTTACTTTTATTTAAAAGAAAGCTGGGTATCCAGAGAGCCTGCTAAGCCTGTTACAATTTTTCAGTGATATATTACTATTTTACTGACGTTTAAAAAAGAAAAAGAAATTATTAATCTTCCAGGGGGCGGATGGTTTGACCATGACGGTCCAATCAGTCCAAGGGAGGTACGTGGGCAGGACGAAGAAAACCGACAGAAACATTATGCATAAGGAAAAATGCTCTTAAAAATCTTAACATCTGGAATCGAATAGAGGAGCACCAAAATTGTTTTAGGATGTTATTTAACTGTTCGTTAATTGCCTATGTGTAATTTAACATTTTATATTGTTTTATTGTTTTATTGTTTTATCTGGCATTATGCCCTGTTAGCCGCCCTGAGCCTGCAGGGAGGGCGGGATAGAAATCTAAATAATAAATAAATAAATAAAATAAAAAGCTGACTCAAAATCGGCTTCAGAAAAACATTGGGGTAAAAGTGGTCTCCAAAGCACTGGCAAAAAAGGAGGAAAAACAAAAGCCCAAACTGACAACTAAAGGTACAAAAATGTGTGCGGGAATCAGGAGACAACCAAAGCAGTATGGAGCCAGAACCAACATTTTTTAAAAAACTTCTGAAAAGCCCATGTGTCTCATCTTTCCCAGTCCTCTTAAACACAGGTGTAGAGGACAGTGTGTGGTATTCAAACTCTGAGTGTGGGGAGGGCTGTGGCTCAGTGGTAGACCAACAGCTTGGCATGCAGAAGGTCCCAGGTTCAATCCCCAGCATCTCCAGCTAAAAGGATCAGATCATAGGTGATGGGAAAAACCTCTGCCCGAGACCTTTGGAGAAACAGGGCCAGTCTGATTAGACAATAGTGACCTTTAAATGATCACTATGTATTTTAATTTGTCCTATGAAAATGTCTGGAAATTTCTTGTTTTTATTTTGACGGAATCATCGTTGTTGCCATGGTTTACTTGTTGTTGCCATAAAGAGAGGCTGACCGAGCTTGAATGTCCAGTGGTCTAATTCAGTATAAGACAGCTTCATGTAAGCTGTAGCCTGAAAACAGGGACACTGACGTTGATTCTCAGTTCTCAACCCGTAAGTCAGAGACCGTGTTGCAAATGAACAAACAAAAACGGCACAAGCCAGCGGGCAAATTAAGCCCAAAGCTTCTCTTTGATTGGTCAAAAAGATCACATGGACGGCTTCAAAAGGGAATTAGATAAGCATATGGAGCAGAGGTCCATCAGTGGCTATTAGCCACAAGGTATAGATAGGGACTCTGGGGCAAGTGATGCTGTCATCTTGGTGCTTGGGGGGGGGGTCAACAGTGGGAGGGCTTCTAATGTCCTGGCCCCACTGGTGGACCTCCTGATGGCACTGGTATTTCTGGCCACTGTGTGTTGGACTGGATGGGCCTTTGGCCTGATCCAACATTGGCATCTCTTATGTTCTTATCACCACTTGGATGGATTGCTTATCATCAGTGTTGTCACCACGGGCACTAGCCATTAGGTGCTTTTGAGATGGTTGCAACCAACCGAGGCTTCGGAAGTTATTGCAGTAAGCATGCTAGCTGGGAGAAACATTATATTGTCCTGGTATCAAAGTATTGAGTGTTCGGGAAAGGTGTGTGTTTTTTTCCTGCCATGAGCACTTCCTTGAGGGAGAAGTTCTAGAGTTCCCACAACTGTTGAGCAACAGTTGCAGGTTTATTGTACAAAAGAAGGATGGTCTGGAAAGGCCCATATTTCTGGTCTATGAATTTCCATTGGGAAGTGAACTTGGCTATTGAACAAATTATCTTCTCTGTGTGGAGGGTGGGTGTAACAAATCAATGTGGGACTTTGATCCTGCTTTACGCTGGAGCTTTGTTCAGCCTTGCGAAGTCACCATAAAAATCTGTTATCAGCTGGTCTACCTGCATGAGGTTGGCTGTGAGTG